TTGAGCAGCCATTAAGTCGAGAATTGAGGACATGTGTATTACATATCGCACAGTCTATCAAAGGTTCTATTTACGATTGTAGTACAGATGAAGAGAAGACAGTGAGCCGTGCGTCGAGCGTCATGTCGGGACCGCTCGATCCATGCTTTGGCCCAAGCACATCTCATAGTACACACCTTTCTTGTCAAGCAGTTCTTGATGTGTACCACTTTCCACAATCTTTCCCCTCGCGAACACCATGATCATGTCCGCATCTTTGATAGTACTGAGACGATGCGCCACCGCGACAGTTGTACGTCCACTCTGCGCTTCCTCGAGTGCCGCCTGAACTACCCTCTCGGATTCAGTATCTAGTGCGGAAGTAGCTTCGTCAAGAAGCAGTAGGCGTGGCTCGCGTATGAGTGCTCTGGCGATGGCGATACGCTGGCGCTGCCCACCCGATAGTTGCGTGCCTCTATTACCACACATCGTCGCAAAGCCGTTCGGCAAAGATGCAACGAAGTCGGATATGTTCGACTGCTTGGCTGCGGCTTCGACCTGAGCGTCAGTCACGTCGACTTCAACACCCATGGCGATGTTGTCCCGGACCGAGCCTTGATACAGGACTGGCTCTTGCTGGACCAAAGACACACCTCGGCGGTATTTGCGTGGACAGAGGTCCATCAACGGAGCGCCATCGCAGGCGATACGCCCCGCAACGGGATCATAGAACCTCTCCAAGAGCGAAACCATTGTTGACTTCCCGCAGCCTGAAGCGCCGACGAGAGCAATGAATTGACCGGGCCGCACATCGATATCGATGCCTTGCAGGACCTTGGCATGAGGCCGAGACTTGTACGCAAAAGCAAGGTCCTGTACCTCAATATGCGCTGGACTCTTGTCCTTTTCGTCGTCAAATGGCGGCTTTGATGCGTCTTCCTGCACTGCAGGCTTCATTGCCCGCAACCGAAAAACGTAGTTAGCAGCAGTGGCCGACTTTGTGAGACTCGTAGTGTAAGAGAAGAAGGCTGCAGCTGCTTCTCCAGAGAAAATAACACCGATGAAGACCGTGAAGAATTGGGTTGTCGTGTATTCTCCCGTGCTGATCAGTCGGCCGCCGTACCAAAAGCCCAGGGCCATTGCCAAGAATGAGATGGACTGTGTCAGTGCGTACCAGAACATAGTCCACACCAAAGCTTTGATACCGTCTCTTGCGACACCTCGTAGCCGATCTTCGTACCGGGCGAGGATGTGTCTTTCGAGCGCGAGACTGGAGACTGTGCGAATAGCGGAGACTGCTTCGGATGCGAGAGCAGCGCTGCTGGCGAACCGTTTGCCCGTGAGATCTTCTAGCTTGAATTCAAGTCGAATCCTGAGGTACCCAGAAAACACAATCGGAGGCATAGCTGCGCCAAGTCAGTGTCGATTACTAGAAAGAACTGAGAACTGATACTGACCTCCGAAGACGACTACAAGACCCAGCTTCCAGCCAACCACAATGGCCAGAATCGAGGAAGAAACGATGTTGACGATGTTGATGAATATGAGCATCAGGTTGAACCCCATGAGATCCCGTAAAGCGTCTGGGTAGGCTCCAAGTTTCGAGGCGAGCGCGCCGCTCGCATTGTCTTGATCGTCGAAGAATGCCATGTCTTGCTTGAGGATGAGGTCAAAGATCTCTCGTCTATATACCCTGGCGACAACCTGAGCGACAATGTTGCTGGCCCAGCCAACAGCGCCATAAACAACAAGATTGCCGATTGCGACAACAAAGAACATCAAGGAGTAAAAGTCGCCCTGTTCTACTGCCCTCTTGGAGGACAATTGAAAGGCTTCGACGACGCGAGAGAATAGGATGGCTTGCGCCGGGTATGTCGCTCCTGTAGTACGTCAGTAACAGTCGAACAAGGAATGGGTCGACAACTTACCTCCAGCGACTGTTGCAATTCCTAAGATCAGAAAACACTTCCAAAGGGCACCCTGTTCCCTGAGGACTATCCAGGCACACTTCACCAGGTTGTAATTGATGCCGTCTTTGTCGGAAACTTTCGCTTCTTGGCCGATAGCGGATGCTTGGGTCTGCGTCCGTACCAGATCAATCTTCTCTGCGGCAAAATCCTGGTCTTCCTGCTCTTCACCCTCTGCTTGGCCGAGGTCCTGGGCTCTGACGAGACGAGCGTATGCACCACCAGCAGCGAGAAGCTCGTCGTGTGAACCTTGTTCAACGACAATTCCAGCAGCCATGACTGCGATGTTGTCGGCATTGCGAATGGTGGAAAGCTTATGAGCGATGACGATGGTTGTGCGACCTTGAGAGACACGTTCAAGTGCTTGCTGTACGATCTTCTCTGCCTTTGGATCCAAAGCGCTGGTGGCTTCATCCAAGAGAAGGACAGTCGGCTCCGAGACGATACTGCGCGCGATGGCTAGTCGTTGCTTCTGACCGCCCGAGAGGTTCATAGCACGCTCACCCAACTGGGTATCGTAACCCTATTCAAACGTTAGTGATCCATACGACGAGCATCTGAGGAGCAACACGGCTCACCTTTGGCAGCCGTTCGATGAACTCTTCGGCATAAGCGTTCTTGCAGGCCTTCTCTACGAGCGCTCGTTGCTCGCTCTCGGGCAAGTTGGCCTTGTCGGTGCCGAACAAGCCGAATGCGACGTTTTCGTAGACAGTACCGGAGAACAGCACTGGTTCTTGCTGTACTAATCGGATATTCGTACGTAGCCAGGTGAGATTGAGCTCTCGTATGTCGGTACCGTCGAGGTATATGGCGCCGCTAGCCTGATCATACCATCGCTCTATCAAGCCGATGATTGTCGATTTGCCGCTGCCTGATGCTCCGACAAGGGCTGTGGTCTTCCCAGCAGGCGCAGATAGCGTCAAGCTCTTCAAGACTGTGATGTCAGGTCTAGCGGGATAGGCAAAGCTGACGTCTCGAATCTCGACAACACCTTCGCACACGCTAGGCACCTTGCCATCATCACCCAAGGGATCAATCTCGGACTTCCGATCGATGGTCTTGAACAACTCGTCGGCAGAAGAAGAGGCCTTCGTCAGGGAGATAATCTGAGGTGCTATTGTCGTCATAGCGGTTGCTGCGACGATGACAGCGAGGATTACGGTAAACACATCGCCTGCCCATTCATTAGTACATGATGTTACTGGTCGGGCAGATCGGAGATTTATCCCGATCCAAGTCGATGCTTTACATACCACTCTCTTTGACTTCGCCCCTGGCCCACATCCGGATGCCTTGCCAGAAGGCCAGGCCATAGCCCGCGTAGATACAGAAGAACTCGACTGAGAACATGACGGCATAGTTCGGGGACTTCTTCATACCCACCTCCTGGGCATCGCCAAGAAGCTTGTCATACTTGCTGGACAGCAATGGATGAAGCCAGAATGCGTGAACCGTGCGTACAGTTGCAAAAATCTCTTCCGCAAGTTGTCCCGCTTTGGAGTAAATCGGTAGCAATTGATTCTCGTTCTTGGTATCAATGCCGATGGACACACCGACAACGATCATGATTGTTGGAACGATGCTTATCGTTATCAGGGTAAGCTTCCACTGGACGATGAAGGCAATGATGAATGCTGAGACGAAGGTCGATACACCCTGGACGGTCAACGTGAGCTTCTCCGATATACCGTTGTTGACATTGTTTCCGTTCGTCGTAGCCTGTGTCGTGACCGAAGCGGCTTCATCTGAGTCGAAGTATGCAATGTTCTGCCGGAGAATGCTCTTAATGAAGTCCAATCGTAAGGCCTTGGTGGTGCGGATGGCTGCGATGGATACAAATGCCTGCGAACGTGAGCACGCTTTCAGGGATGTAGCTTGTTAGTCACATACCGAGTGAATGTAGACGAGACCGAACTTCGCAACGAAGAGGTAGATGAAGTACAATGTGTATTTGTTCACTTCGGCGCGATATTGCGCTGGCGTGATCGAGCCAGTCGCGAACCCAGTGAACGTCGAGATGAACTTGCCAAAGACCAGATCCCTGTGTGATGGAGGATTTCGTTAGTGTGTGATTATCAATTGATCGACGTTAGGTCTTGCGAGAATCTTTGACCGTCCTTGACACGTAGTGCGAGGCCCGGAAAACTTTCCAATGATGTTTATCATGTCAGATGAACGAAACAATGCCTAGCAATGCGCAATCATCCAGGCCACCACGTTTCGAACATTGATGGAGGGGACAAAAGATCGTGATGTGTGCATGTCTCTTACATTAACGGAAGTAGTGTTCCAGCGGCGATGGCTGCAACGAATGCGATGGTGTTGAGGATCCAGCTTGTACGATCTGCATACTTGAAGATGCGCTGGTATGTCGTGAGCATCGTGTTCCTTCTAGTTTGTTCAATACACTTACGACATAGCCACCCATGCCACCCTTTGGCTCTTCAGACGTGACATCGCTTTTGACTGTCGGCGCCTTGCTTGTCTTGACGTCATCGCTGGCGCGCTGCTCGGGCGTGTCGACCATTTCTTTACTCGTCGACATGTTTGGGGTGAGTATTGCAGTCCGTGGACGATCGGACTGCAGTGCGCCACATTGATATCTGAAGCCATCTCGTTGAAGTTGCGCACATAGCTCATGTTTGCCGGACTTTGCAAAGTCCGGATCCGCGGTGAAAAGGGCGCCCAGGGGGCGCGTCGCAAGCGGCTGAAGATTTCCCAAATGGCGCGGGATACGAGCAATGCGAGCCAATCGGTAAGTCCCGGGCCTTGGCACAGTCACGAGATCGCGCGTTCTTCGTAGTGATGCCTGGTGAGGCCGAATGCTGCATCTAGACTTCACAACCCTGTATCTTCAACACTCTGGAAGGTTTAGTTGGTGAGATATTGGACTGCTGCCTGTCGGTACGAGATTTCTGCTATTAGTGATGACATCGTTGATAGTTTCCACAGCTCCGGGTTCCGAGAAGCCCGCGCTCCGATAAAGTCCACAATATCCGCCACTCTTGCACACCACGCGTAGAATACCGCGGCTCGAACTGCGTAACCGGCAAAATGGAAGACGACGATATGGATGCGTCGCTCGATGGACCCATGTCCAAGCGTGCGGTAAGTCGCATGAGCCAGCCACCCAGAGCACCTGCAGCGCCCAGGTTGACGACCCACATCTAGTGCGATGCCTGCCGAACACGCAAGATACGTTGCGACAGAGGCGTGCCATGTTCTAACTGCAAGGCAAGCAAATTGAGTATGCTCTGCTTGGCTTGAACCTGAAGTTGCCGCTGATTCGTGCAGCTTGCAAAACAGCTCCCCCTCAACAGAAAGCGCAGCGACAAAGGGTTCACATATCTGAAGAATAGTACGTCTGAACCGCTTCCAAAGTGGACCTCGCTGCTTGTGGCGTCAGCCTTACCCGTCGACCGTTCTTTGCCCCGCGGCCAAACAATCGAATTGTGCTGATCTGGCGTTGAGTAATCTTGTTCGAGCTGACTCGATTTAGCGAGAAGAAGATTGATAGAATTGAAGACCGCTTAGCTGGTATTGAGAATGTTCTTGCCAGTCTCGCAACGAAACTCGGCAGTCTGGACCTCCAGAAAGACTCGCATGAATCCAGCAGCCAATCGCGGTCGAGCCGAGTTGGCCCTTCAAGGAGTCCGGGAAGTGTCCTCGTCGAAGCCCCCACACCCGCACCATTCGAGGGCGAGAGTTCTATCAATAGCCAGTCAGACTATGCTCGCGAGATGCTGGCACGAGCGATCGGGAGTACACCCTCTATTGGACAAAATGAAGAAGTCAAGTTGGCACTTACTGCTCTTTCGGAAATGGTCTCTCAGCACGGCCAAAACCCTGCAACTTCCAACCTCTTGATCAACCAGTCACTTGTCGACATTGACCCATCGAAGCTGGAACGACCACCTTGGGAAATTGCGTGCTATGCTTTGGAGAAAGCTAGTGGTATGTCTACAGACTTTGTACCATTCAAGCCGATCTGACATGACCAGAATATCCAACTATGGCCTTCGCAGTGGTGTTTCCGTTCTTGAGAATGGCCAATCTCAAAGATATCTTCTATGATGTGTATCATAACCCAGAAACTTGTAGCGCCGCTCGCCGTGTGCTCACGTTCGGCGTGTTGGAGAACGTGTTCAACGAATTCCGGACCTTGCCACTAGTCAATATGGACACCACCAACTATCAATCGTACGCCATCATAAGTCGCAGGCAAACAGAGGTAGCACTGTCGCAGCTAGCTATATTCTTACCGGCAAGCTACGAGAATATTATGGCTTTGGTCCTTGGCGCTGCGCAGGCGGTCGAGATGTGCAAGCCATCTCTTTGCTGGATTATGATATCCAGCGCTGCGGGCTTGTGTCAGAGCTTGGGCTATGTAAGCAATCATGTGCAAAATGCGTGTGAGACGACCGCTGACGTCTTGCATTTAGCATCGAATCAACACTATGATAGACGACAATCCCGAAGACAGACAGACGAAGATCCATATCTTCTGGATGATTTACATGCTTGACAAGACGCTTTCGCTACGTTTGGGTCGCTCAAGTATCCTCCAGGATTGGGACATATCGTTACCGTTTGTAGTATCCAGCGACCCTAACGACAAGCACGCCGAATCAAGCGCCTTCTTGTCGTACTGGATTAAGGTTGCGCGAGTCCAGGGCCTGACATACGAGAAGCTATTTTGCCCTGCCGCCTTTACAAGATCTACGGAAGAGCGCACGCGAATCGCGATTGAACTTGTCAACAGTCTTAACCAAGCCTGGTACGAGCGTGGGGATGCGTCGATCGTCGACTTTTCGCAACAAGGCCATACGTATCATCTCGGTACGCCGAGATCGAACAAAATAGGCAACAGCCCAAATGAGACACCACTCCCGTCTCAATACAAGCGCTATGTGCACAAATCTCAGGGTAAACAAGGATCAGAAGTCAACGAATACGTTCAGGGTAAGTTTCACCGTCGGCGAGATTTGAACTGCACTGACTTTCTTGGTTGAAGGCTCTTTCGAGAGAGTCCAAGACATCTTCTTCCACTCCGATGTCGTCATGCACTATTCCACCTGTGCACTCATACAGCGCACGGTCAGTCCAGGAAATATGAGCTTTAATCAAGAGTGCCTCGAATCCTCGAGAGCGGCCCTTGTCGCCCATATGAGGGCTAGTGCACAGTTCAACAAGAAGGGCCAGGAGGACTTATGGTCGGGATATGTACACTGGTCGGTTCTTCAGGCACCTTTTACACCGTAAGTCACTTGATTATTTCCTGCGCACGATCGCAGCTGACTGATACATGCAGTTTCATCGTGATATTCTGCCACTCCATCCAAAAGGCCGATACGTCCGACGTTGAGCCAGATCTTAACTCCCTTTCCGAATTTGTCGGCAGCCTGGAATCTTGCCGCACAATTTCCGAGGGTGCAGACAAGCTCTACAAGATGTGCCATCTTTTCCTACGGGTTGCCAGGCTCTACGTCACGGCTAAGAAACAGGATGCTGCGTCAAGATCCCGGGGAGTTATTCAAAATAACCAGTCAGGGTATTACACGACTGTTGATGGCACGCAGCTGGACCTCAACGCAATGTCTCAATTCGATCCATATCTTAGTGCGCTTGGATTGATGCCTGATACCGCATGGCCCACGACATATCCCAACGCTTCCACTGCAGCCACGACGACCGCGTTTGAGCAAGGCGAGGCGATGAATAACATGGACGCCGTTGGTTCGTCAGGCTTCGGTTTTGGAGCGTCTCAGGGAAATTCCAATCCCATGCAGGACTGGTTCTCAGGCTCACGCTATCTCATGAACCTTATGGAGCCAGGCGACGATCTACAAATGCCGGATCTAGACCTGTAATACACGTCATCAGGGAGGAAGACATGGTTTCCGGCGTTTAGAAGACGGGGGACTGCTTCGGCGGCTATTTTTCTTGTCACTGACATATACCCCACTCTTGACATTGCTAGATGTCCACTATTTGCATTCATACTGGGGTTTCCTACTCAACTATTTCGCTAGAGAGTTTATATTTTGCCTGGGTTGGTGGCGTCGTTACATACCAATCTAGACTCACAAAAGCTTGCATTTCGTAACATCACAATGTTCACTCAGCCGGTCTACTATGACATGAGTGCAAAAATGAGCCGGCGTCGCAGGTTGCCTTGCATCCGCATACTGATTCGCTCTCATAACCTTGCCCACCTGAGCAAGGGCGTCATTGTTGCAGCCGCCAACTGGAGTAATTCGACAGCGATTCATGTGCTCTCTGCCCAAGCAGTTGGAAGAACAAAGCATGATGCTGCATAACAAAGGTGCGTAAGCGGGGCGAAATACATGGACTGTGATGCGAAACTGAAACAGCCTGTTTCATCTGGGGAAGAGGAGCTTGAGTGAACAGCATGCAACATGCAACAATGGCAACAAGGGCGTTCGAGCACTCATCACGAGCATTGGATTTGTTACATGATCATGCTGCTCCACTCGTTGATGTGTTGTCGATGCTATTATTCTATTTACACGCGCCGTCTCCAACCGGCAAGAAAGCCAAGCCTACACATCAAGGTCCGGCATCGCATTGTCGTTGGCCCAATCCTTGATTTTGTCAAAGTTCCTGCACACATGGTGACTCTCGTAGTCAGGCCAGTATCCCTCCTTACCCTCCTGCGGGTGGAAAGTAAAGACGTTGACGTCAGAAAGACACATGAGGTTCATGCGGAGGATCTCGATGCAGTGGTCTAGATGCGCCCTGACCTTTTCAGGCTTGTCGTTGGTGTCGCTCCACCAGAGCTTGGGGTAGTAGTCGGGGTAGGTTGACATGCGGAGGAGGTTGAGGCAGTGCAGTTGGTGGAAAACTTCTAGTCCGACTCGATAGCCTGTTTCGCCTGTTTTGGGGTCGGTGACTTGCAGGGCGTCGGCGGGCTTTTGTAGCTTGGGGAAGTCTTCCATGGAGACCATTTGGTCGGGCACTGTGCTGTGTTAGTGATGGGGTTTGAGTGGTGAGGGCGCGGGTGTAGAGGAGTAGGGATGGTGACTTACGATATGCGACGTCCATCCATGCGTTCTCTACATCATCGGTAATACCGACATACTTCGAAGAGTTCAAAGGGTTGGGTAGTTCAAACTTTGTGTGGCTATACTCGACGACGTGTTTTGCAGGCGCTAGGTCATATCAGCCAGTATTCATCAGGGGCACGATTAAGATCTAAGTACTTACAGAAGATGTCGAACTGATCCATTAGCTTAGCCGCTGAGTGGCCCGAGTAGTCTTTTTGCGACATAACCGAGCATAGCAACGACAGCATTGACACTGTGAAAAGGAACAGGTTGAAGAGTGTGAGATAGATGTAGCTTCTCCGCCGTTGCCTATCATCGCTTTGGTAGGGTGTTGTGATAAAAGCGGTATTCTCGGCATCGCCCTGCGATGAGCTGGAGTCGGTGTATTTTTCCATGATGTTTTTCGATTGCGCGAAGAATACAATGAATGGAGTGAAAGCACAATAAAGTGATATTGAAAGAAGAAGTATTAGTCGACCTGCGATAGAGAATAGAATGCTGCACTCAACGCTTGAACAAGACGAAGGTGAATGAAGATGGAAGACCAGCGAGCGAGTAAGTGGGAGACGTTGGCGCGAAAGACTATGGTAGACCTGCTAACATCGACCCCCGATACGTTCTCGGTATCGCCATGGGTAGGTCACCGAAACACGGAACATCTCAAAGGGTGCCGCAATGCCGTGCAGGCCGCTTTCTCCAAGGCGTCTTGTTCCATCTGCCCAGGCAACATTAGCCTTGCTCCAAGGCATCAAGCTTTTACCAAGCCTTCTGAGACGCAGAAGGCGGGATCGTCGCCGCTTTTTCGTTGGTTCAACTGTTGCATGGGTTTCGAAGTGGACACTTAGCCAAGACTGGATGTTCATAATTCGGCACCATCGTTTCAGCTTGGCGCGCCAGCCAAAACGAGATTCTTACACTGACATGACACGCACATGGAACAAACGTCCCAACTGCATGATGACAGAACAACGGAAATAACGTCAAAAGTTGCCAGGGCTGGAACAACAGGACCGCGGCTGCGCGCCAATGGTTTCCGAGGTTAAACCCTTTCTGGACTAGTCTCGACCAAATGAGTGGTCAGTTCCCGAGGACCAACAGTCTCTATCAAAGCAAGCTCCAGATCGCATTGGCGATGCGCGAAAGGTACCCGGTGGGTGTTGTCGCGGAGCCTGAGGCAGGACCTCGTAGCCTGGCGGCTGGGTTGGACATGACCGTGTTCTCGAGACACCGACAGGCCTTGTCGACGGCTGGCGGTGTCGTTGGTGGAGACGCCAGGCCGTCAAGACTTTCTGTGTTTGGCTTCCCATGCAAACGCCTTCCATCGCCATCGCATCGAAGCGAGCACAGTGGCTTCCTGCAGGCGGCAGGTGGGGTGCCACCTCCGCTTCTGTGCCGTAGGCAATGCAACATGTCTCAGGAGTTGAAGGCGAGAGTGAGCAAGCATGCAACCGCCGTGCCTACCAGGAGTCGAGTTGACTTATAAAGCATCTCGAAGCTCCAGAAGTAAAAGGCATCAACGTTGAACGTGCTCATTCCTTCTCATATCCTGCTCAGTTCTGTTTCATCCATTCTTCTCTGCTGGCAGATCCATTCTTTCAACCGATTCCAGACTCAGTTAAACTTTATTCAATATGAGATTTACCGCACTTACTCTTTTGGCCCTGGGTGCCTCAACCTCTGCCTACGTTGTGCCAAACAACAAGCAAGCCGTTGACAATGCTGTCAAGGCACGCATGCCAGTAAGTTATGCGATGATCCTTGGCATGTCATATACTTACAGTTCTCCAGGGAAGCGGACCTGTCCACACATCCAACCTCGTTGCTGCCCTTGCAGACCGTGGAGTCGAAGCCCGTCACCACAAGGGCAAGGGTGGAAAGGCTGGCGGTGCCGGTGCTGGTGCCGGTGGCGCCGGCGCTGGTGGCTTAGCCAAGCTCTTCGGCCGTGATGCTGAAGAGTTGACCCAGGAAGAGGACGATGCTCATTGGGCCGACCTCCACACTCGCTCTCCTCATCACAAGGGCAAGGGCGGAAAAGCTGGAGGTGCTGGAGCCGGAGCCGGTGGCGCTGGCGGCTTGGCCAAGATTTTCGGCCGTGATGCTGAAGAGTTGACCCAAGAAGAGGACGACGCTCACTGGGCCGACCTCCACACTCGCTCCCCTCACCACAAGGGCAAGGGCGGAAAAGCTGCTGGAGGTGCAGGTGCCGGTGGCCGAGGCAAGCTCAACAACCGCCAGGCCGAAGAGCTCACCCAGGAGGAGGACGACGCTCACTGGGCCGACCTCCACACTCGCTCTCCCCACCACAAGGGCAAGGGCGGCAAGGCTGCCGGCGGAGCTGGTGGCCGAAAGGTCAACAACCGCGAAGCCGTGCCCGAGCCCCATCACAAGGGTAAGGGAGGCAAGGCTGGAGGTGCTGGCGGAGCCGGTGCTGGCGGTTTGGCCAAGCTCTTCGGACGTGAGCCTGAGCCACACCACAAGGGCAAGGGAGGCAAGGCCGCTGGTGGTGCTGGTGGAAAGGCCAAGCTCAACAACCGCGAGGCTGTCCCCGAGCCCCATCACAAGGGCAAGGGAGGTAAGGCTGCTGGTGGCGCTGGTGGTGCTGGTGGTGCTGGTGCTGGCGGTTTGGCCAAGCTCTTCGGACGCGAGCCTGAGCCGCACCACAAGGGCAAGGGAGGCAAGGCCGGAGGTGCTGGCGGTGCTGGCGGCAAGGCCAAGCTCAACAACCGTGAGGCTATGCCTGAGCCTCACCACAAGGGCAAGGGAGGAAAGGCTGGAGGTGCCGGCGGCAAGAACAAGCAGAACAACTAGACGGACATTGCACCCTTTGGACTTGCCACGATAGATGTTAGGGGGCAGAAGAGTTGGTGGCGCGAGTAACCTGGATGATTCCTTTAGTATATCTTTTTCCTCATAATGTAGATACGGATGAAAACAATCTGATCAGTGATCAAAGAAAGACCGGCGTCTGGACGTACACATTGGTCTCTGTGATATGAGCGTGATTGTTCGTGAGCCATCCTGGAGGTATCCGAGCGACTTGAGAAACTTGTTCGTCGTGTAATAGTTGTTTGAATATATCCCCGTTCTTTCTGATGTGGAGTGACCGACAATCCCCGTGCACAGGTTCCCAGTGTCTGCTACTGTCGAGCGAGGTCAGCAGTAGCATCCCAAAGCGTCGAAAGCAAGGCCGCGCTAATGACAGCTATTGCATCGGCAAGATGGGAAAATGCTTGTAAAGAAATGTGTTAGTATATGTTTCTCCGAACGAGGATGAAATATCTACCACACATGTGTCTGCTTCGGTGCCTGTAGGACTAGACTTGTTGACAAAGTATAGTCTCAACATGCCCGCAGCATCTCAGTCGATTCCGGCTGCCGTTTTGGTGAACATGATTAGATCCCGATGGCTTGCAGCTGTTGATGCGCGTTGTTCAGTTATCGTATGCAACCTCGAGCCGGTGGTCGCCGTGTGGTGAACCGGGCGATGGTAGAACTCGAACTTGCTTGAAGGTCCACAAAGAGCGACCGTGATGGATCTCATGGCCTCCTACATAGTGGCTATTGAAGGTTGCGCCGTGTGTCCAAGTTTCCGGAGTCGTGGTTGCACAGTGCTGCGCACTCGCCGCTGTATGTCAGTGGGCAGAAACGATGGTAACGATAGTGAGCTGCACAGCGCATGGCGAAGAAGATGTCGTGGGTGGTGCGTTTGCGAGAAGCAGGTAGATGGAGCAACGCACACCACCCAGAGCTTGTACTGCAACGTGGTCGACCGATCCTGTGGGTGACTTGAAGCGCGTGTCACA